TCTTGGAGGAGAGACAAAACGTTTCATTAGAGAAGAACCCGTCCAGAGGACCTATACAATTTTTTTCATTTTGATAAATGTTTGTTATTTATAACCAAGATTATTTCATAATGTCTTTGTATTTAAAGTTAGAAATGCTCCAAACTGATTAAAAGTGAAAAATGTCACAGACCTAAATGTTTAAGTTTAAAGACAAGCCTTGGTGTGGAGTAAAGGTGGCCTGTGTGGTGCTTTCTGGAAGCTTTTCCTCCTGCTGCAGTTTTGAGTCTGAAGCTCCAAAGCAGGTTGAACGTCTCTGGACTGGATATGGCTTCAGATTCTGGGACTTGGTGGTAAAGATGTTCTGGTCCTGAGGGTCTGTTTGCACCATAAAGCTGGTGTTCAGTTCGATCCAGTTTGAGATGTGGGTCACCTGTGAAACCTGATGATGCTTGTAGGACTCCCTGGTCTCTGTCAGGAACTCCCAGATGTGCCTCACATCTCTGTGGTGGATTTGAGCTGGGCTGGYTGGATGACAGGGTTCTGCCCTCTGTGAAGAAAAAGGCTGAAATTGTTCTTGATAAAAGGTTGTGTAAGTGCCCGGGTGATTTCTGCCCTGAAATGGGATGATGGTGGAATGGACCGGATCTTGACAGGCTGGATTTTTCACCTACAGTCTTATCAGACACAAACAAAGCAACTGATGTCTGTTTGGATCGACYTGTTTTCTACAGGAGCAAAAGAAAAGTGTCTCAAAGCTTCACCATAGYAACCTCTGTGTTGTGGAACATGATYATGTTGATGRTGTTCTGTATCATTTTCAAACAGTAATTGTAAGTTTAAGTTCAGGGTCTTTACCCCACAGATGCAAAACAGTAATTTACTGTTTGTTTGCAAAGTCTTATTTAACACACCGCAGGATATGTGAGAAAATATGGGGGGAAAAAACTAGAGGAATTTAAATTCAGTGAGAACACTGAGTGCTGAAATTTGTTTTAAAAAAATTTCCATCCATTTCTTCTGCTTGTTCCAGAGTTGGGTCCTGGGGGAAGAGAGGCCCAGACCTCTCTTTCCCCAGTTCTTCTGGGAGGATTCAAGTTTCCAGGCCAGTTGAGAGTTAGAGAGACAGATAGTTTTTCCAGCCAGCGCATCCTCTTCCACTGGAAGCCGAGTCTGTAAAACTAGAAGCTGCACCAATCCATCTATTAATCTGTCCATCTTGTCCAAATTATAGCTACAGCTAAAATGAGCCAAATTATATCTAAAAAGATAAACTAAAAACCAAACATAACTAACAGCTAAGTCAGTAGTCCTGGGAAGTGGTAATTTCCCTGTCCCCGTTTGTAGATTTAAACTGGAATGTCCCCTCCAGTGGTAATATTCCACCCGTAAAGCTAAAAGTTGCTAAAAGTTAGAATTGTCAAGACTTGTGTAGCCTGAAACCTATAATGAACAAAACCAAGTCATAATTAAATAAAATGAAAAATATCAATGAATTTTATTAAGATGGATAAAGCGAAATAAAGTTAAATATTTCAAAAGGTATAAATGTCACAAATAGGCTACAAAAAGTCAGCGCAGGAATAGAAGGAAGTAGTCTATGGGGTGTCATTTGTAAAGTTACACAGTCAAAAATTTTCACAAGCCTTATTATTGAAAAAAAAAACAGGTTTATTTTTCAAAGTCAGATTTTCACCATGTTATTCAAGCATTTATAAATGTCATAGTTTACAAACTAAATATTTAGTTAAAAATATAAACATTAAGCTCCAAACTAAATAGTTTGGAGCTTYATATTTAGCTTTGTTTTAGCAAGCTTTAAGTTAAAAAGCTAAATATTTGAACTGAATATTTAACCTTTAAACTAAATATTTAAGTTGCAAGTTAAATATTTATTTTGGAGCTAAATATTTATTTAATTTGGAACTATGACATTATAAATGTATGAATAACATGGTGAAAACCTGATTTTGAAAAATAACCCCATTTTTTATCATCATCATCATCATTATCATCATCATCATCA